CTAATATTTTATTTTGGGGAAATTAGGAAACCCTGATTGTTTGCCTAAGGCCACGTGTCCGTCATCACCAAAGTTGCCTCGGCTCGGGAACTTAGGTACGATTGGGGAATGTCACTTCGTGAGCACCCCGCTCGCTCAATCAAAATCGACCTCACTAACCTGATATATCTATTTTTGAAAACATTATGCGTTCTTATTCCGGTTATATAGCCTAAATTTACTAATGTAGATGCGACACAACATACAAGTATAGACTGGATCTTCCTGAATTGGAACAAAACATTTCATATTTGTTTGTTTGAAAATGGTTTGATGGTGTTACTCGCAAGTAGGCTAAGACGTGGATTGCCACCCTTAGGTGGGCTTAGAAAACATGATTTTGCACTATCTAGTGGGCTTAAAACTCATAATTAATGAATTGTTCCAATCAAATACTCAACATTCACCCACGAGCATTCAGGCAGTTTATTATACATAAGCACATAGCCTCATGGTAAGCATGCTATCATGACATTACCACACGCATGCAGGATGCTAAGCGTAAACTTACCGAGTACTCCAAGCAAAACAGAAACTAATTAGAAATCCATGCATGATCTAATTATACAGAAATGCCTAATGCAACACATGCAAAAGTGAACTATAGCAGGCTCGGCTATTCCAGACAATGGCATATGAAATGCTACAACTAACATGTATTAAATTGGAATTGAAAATACAATGCATTAGTATGATTCGCCGACCGAGCAGGAGGGCCCTTCAACAAAGTTGAAGAGGGGCCCAAAACATGGTATTTTACAGTTAGTGACCAAACCCAAAACAGTGCGCATGCAAGCTTAAAATACTATGCAAAATAAGGTCTAAAAAGAGGTTTAAACACAAAGAGCAAAAAGGGAGCTACAAAAAGCAAAAGTCCCTTGATAAAACATGAAGAGAGGGTCAAAATAAAGCTATTTACAGTTCGGACCAGAGCCCAAAAATACAAGCACAAGGGGCTAACAAAACATGCAAAAATAAGGCCAAAAGAGGGATAAAGGGGCAAGTGACAAAAGGAAGCCTCAAAAAGTGAAGAGCCCTTCAACAATGTTGAATAAGGGCTCAAAATAAGCCACTTTACAGTTTATAATCAAGCTCAAAACAGTTTACAAATAGGCCTAAAATACTATGCAAGAAAGAGGCATACAAGAGAGGTAAAGAAGCAAGTGTAAAAAAGAAGCCTCAAACAGGGAGAGGCCCTTAAACAAACATGAAAAGGAGCTCAAAATAATGCTATTTTCAGTTAGGGTCAGAGCCCAAATATGCAAGCAAGAGGAGATAATATATTGAACAAAAATAGGGCCAAAGAGAGAGATAGAAGGCTTACCTTTGAAGACCAATGCTTCAACAACTCTTTGACCAAGTTTGGGAGCCCTTGACCTCTGGAAATGGCCTTGAAGCTGCTGGAATGGAGTGTGGATTGGTTGGCTTGGAGATGGAGTAGAATGGATGTAGGATTTGAGAGGTTTTGAGAGTTGGAGTGTAGATAGAGAGAGAGAGAGATACAATGTAGGAGGCTTAAACCAAACTTTCTAACCCTTTAAAAGGGAGCTGGAGGGCCTGGATATATAGGCAAGAGTGTGGGAAAAAATGGGGGAAATGGATTTCAAATTTCCCCCCAAAAGTGCAGCCCCCCGGATACACAATCTGGGAGAAAACAAAATACAGATTTGTAATGTACCAGAGAAGGGGAGCAAGGCCGGCCTGGTATTTAAGTTGCAGGTGGCCGATCGGCCCTCCCCATGGCCGACCGGCCAAGGGTCAAAAGGCTCAAGAAGTATTAGTGGCCGGCCACCCCAGATTGGTGGCCTCCCATGTGTGCACAACACAACCATGTGGTCAAAAACTGGAGAAAGTAAACCAGGAGAGAGAAAAGCCCACTTTTTGGAGGGGTTCAAAAGGGTCAAACACAATTACTGGCCGGCCATGTGATATTGGTGGCCTCCCAGGTGTGTACAACACAAATATGTGGTTTAGGGCTGGAAAAAATGGCCTTAGGGTGGTTAACATTGGCTTTCAAGTGAGAAAAACAGGTGACGGAGGGCGATGGAGGAATAAAATTGGTTGTCAGAACAATTACTGGCCTCCCATTCTTCTATGACCTTCCTAACAATGAAACAGAGGTCCCTGCCAAAAATGAACTCAAACCGATGTAAAATAGAGGTTCGGGGGCCGAAACGCGTAGCTGAGGCCACGAAAACTGACTGTTAGGCACCGGAAGTGGTGTTCGACCACGAAGTTGGTTTTTCGGACCGCAGTGTCCTTCAAAAGGGAGTAAATGAGATGCATGCCAAAAACCGGAGCAAATGGAGGTGGTTAGCGGTCCCGAACCGAGGCACACAGCCCGGCTCCGAAAAATCAGAAACCGGACTCCAAACGGGCAAAATGGCCTACGACCACGAAACGTAGCCTACGGCCACTGAGAGATGATCTACGAGACCTCTCTGTCCCTTCGGAAAGAGAAAACAAAGAAAACAGAGCCTGGTTCGCAAACCGAGGCAAAGCATGAAAGAGTTCGGAAGTCTGGAGGCAAGGCTCGCAGCCGAGACTCTGAAACCTCTGAACGAGCACGATATGTAACATCACCAAGCGCTCAATCGGTGACGTCTGAGTCTTAAGGTCTATCAAAAATGGGGTGTCTACAGTTATGAGTTGTAAGTTTTTGTATCAAATATCAAATGTCACATCAAAGATTCTCCACTCAATTCAAAACTATTTTCAAAACTCTTTTACCAAATAAATTTTTCACATTCAAATTATAATTCCAAACCTCACAAACTCAAAATACAACTTATACTCTCAAATCATAATTACAAAACTTTACCAAACGCAACCTAAATATTTTATCTTTCATTTCAAATTGTTCAACCTGCGCCCACATATAAACAAAGGCAGTGGCTTTGGTCCAGTCCAAGATCGAACTGGACCGTGCTGTTGAGCTCGTGAGAGCCCACCACGGGTCCCGTTTTGATAATCTGAACCGTTAAATATGTAGAACGCGTCGAATATTATATGCCTGTAAAAAATCACGTTGATCGGATATCGATAGCTATGTGAACAAAACAGTTTTTTATGAACCGTTAATTTTTTCACCGTCCATTTTTTTATACAAAACTAATTTGATCACATAGCTATTAATATCCGATCAATGTGATTTTTTATAGGCATATAGTATTCAACGAGTTCTACATATTAAGCGGTTCAAATTATCAAAACGAGTCCAAAAATGGATCCCATAAATTAGACTGGACGAATCTAATTTTGATCTCAATTTGAGACAAATTGGACCTAAACAAAACTCTAGATATCTTTCCAATGCGATGAATTTAACTAATTATAAAAGTTAGAATCAGTAATTGATTACGACCTCTTATATAAAAATCAGTTCGCACTTCTTCCTCATCAAAACCTGTTTCTATCATCACCGCCCTCCCTTCCATATCCCAGACAGCGACCCAATAAACAAGCTCAAAAATAGATTTTTTTTTTTTTAAATTAAAAAAAAAATTCTCATTTACTTCTCTGTGTTTAATTCGATTTCCATTTCACTTTTATTTCGATTTCATTTTCAAGACAACTCATCTTCACCGTTGATGCTTTCCCCGGTCAACTGACGAAGGGGACGATGATCCAGACCATAACATACTACCTATCGGAGCACCCCTCGATCGTCAATTTCCGGTGGAGCCACCCCCAATCATTAGGCTCCACGTGGTCCTTCCTCTTCGCCTCCATCTCCTTCTACATCACTTTCTCTCTCTTTCTCCACCTCCTCCTCTCTCTCCTCCTCCGCCGCCGCAAACACCGTCCCGTCCCACTCGGCCCCATCCCCGCTCTCCACAGCCTCTCCATGTCCCTCATCTCCCTCACCATCTTCGCCGGAATCCTCCTCTCCGCCGCCGCGGAGATCCGCGACACCCGTTGGTTCTGGCGGAGATCCAAAACCCCTTTCCAATGGCTCCTCTGCTTCCCCCTCGGAACCAGACCTTCAGGCCGAGTCTTCTTCTGGTCCTACGTCTTCTATCTCTCCCGCTTCCTCCACACTTTCCGGACCTACTTCGCCATCCTCCGCCGCCGCAATCTCTCCTTCTTCCGCCTCTTCAACCACTCAATCCTCATCGTCATGTCTTTCCTCTGGCTCGAATTCTCTCAATCTTTTCAGGTCGTAGCGATACTTCTCACTACCTCAGTCTACGCCGTCGTTTATGGGTACAGGTTTTGGACTGCGATTGGACTGCCGAGTGCTTGTTTTCCCTTCGAGGTGAGTTGCCAGGTGGTGCTGCTGAGTTGCAATGTACTGTGCCATGTTGGTGTGCTTTTGCTTCATTTCATGAAAGGTGGATGCAATGGGATCGAGGCTTGGGTCTTCAATTCAGTTCTCAATGCTGCGATTCTCTTCCTCTTCTTGAATTTCTATGTCAAGAAGCATCTCAGGAAGAGGAAGTTCGGTGATTTCGATGCCATCAAAGAATCGGAGATTGACATGGCCAAAGACAAGGATCTTTGATTTTTTTTTTACTGGAGAAATTGAGGAACAAACAATAAAGGAGGCTCCTTTTATTCCCAATTTGTAGAATTGTATACATATATGTATGGTTAACCGAAATTATATACAAGAATAGTAGTTTTATTAGATTTTTTTTTTTTTTTTTTTCTTCATATTGTTGTTTTTTGAAAGAAAGGAAAAGGTGATTTTGCGTGGAAAGGGATCATGCGTGCAAGTGTAACTATTTTATTATCAAAATAATAATGTGCATGTCATGTTACGTTGACGTTAAATCGGCAATGGCATAAAAAATTAATAATAATAATAATAATAATGAAACTACAATCTACTGTCGGATGACTTTATGATTAATTTGATTTGATTGGTTACTTACTATATTAATTTAACAGAAATGCTTTCTACCTCCAATGCGGGTCGACCCCAGTGACACCTCACTGGGGATCATAATAATAATGAAACTACAATCTACTGTCGGATGACTTTATGATTAATTTGATTTGATTGGTTACTTACTATATTAATTTAACAGAAATGCTTTCTATCTTCACTTGGGGTCCCCCAGTGAGGTGTTACTGGGGGATTGGCCCAAAAAAATAGTTTTTTTTTTTTTTTCATTTTTTTTTTTTTTTTTTTTATGTTTTCAGCGAATAGGGAATCGCCACCTCACTAGAGGTCGACCCCACTGAGTGTATAAATCACGGTTGTTAATTTAATTTGGGTTATCATCAAGCTATCAAGAGATGTGGGAAGCTAGATATGGGCCCAAAATTTTATTTCTTTAATTGGAGGTGCTTCAATAACATAATAATGGTCTTTGTTGGCTACCAATGCTAATCTCAAACCAAATAAATAAATAAATAATAATAATAATTAGCGAGAGAGGAAACAACTGGCTTTTCCAAGTTGGTCCTGTGATACACTTGTTGTAAATCATTGAAGCTACTTTCAAAGATAATTGAAATTGTATTGCACACAAAACTTAACTCACTATGATAAAATTGGACTTTAGCGACGATTTTTTACTGTCGTTAAAGGATATAAAATCGCGATTAAAGTTTTTAACAGCGGTAATTTAGGACCGGAAAAGGTACAATCGTCGTAAAAGGGTAAATTACCGTTGTTAAAAGTCGACCAAAAACGACAGTAATATAGGACAAAAAACGGTGGTTCTTTACCGCCGTAAATAGGTTCAAATTTTTAAAAAATTAATTCTCTCTTCTTGCAACCCCCAAGTCTCAAACTCGTGACCTTTAATCCATGCACACCAACCACTACACCACAACCACTCTATATAAAATATATTCCCTAAATAAATATTTAAACATTACTTTTGCTTTATTGTAGATGGTCATATTCAACCTCTGGCCCCGCGTGGTCACCACACACCGGAGTTCCGCCGGCAAAGACCGCCGTCATCAACTGTAGTAATGAGAGAGCTTTAGCGGCGGTTTCGTTATCGCCGTTAAAAGAGGGCTTTAGTGGTAGTTTTTTTAACGACGGTTTCATTACTGCTGTTAAAGATACTTTAGCGGCGATTTTTTAAACGGCGGTAACGAAACCGCCGTTAAAAATACATTAATGGCGGTATTAACGGCGGTTTCGTTACCGCCGTTAATAGTATCTTTAATGGCGGTAACAAAAATTGCCGTTAAAAAAACTGCCGTTAATGTCCTGTTTTGGCGTAGTGACTTATATAACAATGTTTAACAATGTTATGTTATTGATAGATTTTGAGCTCTCAATGGTTTTGAAACACATTTGAGCTCTCACACCGCAAGGTAAAAATCAATAATCGGACACTATTTTTATATGAGTGTGAGATATATAAAAACATAAAATCTATTTTATGTTGTTAATGTATATGTGGTATTCTTAAATATATTAGGTATTGGTTTCCTAGATATATTTAGGAATAGCCATAGTTGGGTTTCTAGTAGGATACTATTTCTCATAATTAAGTTTCTAGTAAGATACTCTTTCTCAGCCTATATATACAGGCTTTCTATTGTATATAATACATTCAACTCTACAATTATTCAATACAATATATATTTTCTCTCTCTCTCTCTCTCTACTATTCTAACATGGTATCAGAGCTAGGTTAAGAACCTAGTATTTTTGCTTCACCGGCAGGCGGCAGCCTCGCCTTGGCCGCCTGCCGGACCTCAGCCCTCCGCTGCCATGTTTTCTTATCAGTATCGTTTCGTGGTGACCTCTTCCTTTGTTCGTTGGTTTATTCCTACTCCAAATATCTCTATCATATTTTTTTGTTTTTTTATTTTTTATTTTTTACTCGCAATACATTTTTTTTTCTCCACTCTATCTTTCCCTCTACTTCAATCTCAAATTGGTTTCTATATTCAAACATATTTGAGCTTGATGGGGGGGTATTATACCTATATTATGGTGAACTTGGTTACACACCATGCAAATCACCTAAGCCATCTCCTTTGGCGCACAATTCAAGCCGCTTCCTCTAGCGCACCACCAAAAAAAAAATTGTGTTCAATTTTGTAATTAAAATTTATGTTACTAAACTTTTGTTTTACAAAATAACCACATGGTGACGAGATGATTTGCTCATTTTCTTGCTAATTGAACCTAGCTCATCCATTTTGCCTTTCTACTTGAACATTTGACAAGTTAACCTAGGTCATGTGTAAATGCTTCAGTCATGGTTTTGACGTAAAAGGAATGGAATTTATGCAAGGACTTTGACAAATTATTCTTTGTTCGTCGGCTTGAGTAGCGTGCATGTGATGATGCGGCTTGCCCAAATTGAAGTGAAGGTTATGTTTTGTTCCAGACTTCAAATTATGGTTCAACGCTGATCATTTTCAATGGTTTATTAAATAGATCATCAAATTTAAACTTTATAAAAAAAAGTTTACTTTTTGCTGCTTCAATCGTTCATCAAATAGATCATGAAATTCAGGATTTCTAAAATATTTTATCAAATTGAGAACGGATGTGTCTTTTATCAAATTATTATTCATTGTCGTTAAATTTTCACTGCCAGATGTCCCTCAAATGTCTTTCGGAACATCACCTCAAGGTAAAAATTTGTGAAAATTTACACTGACCGGTCGACCGGTTAGACATTCGTCTTGTTGACCAGTGATTTGATGAAACTCTGTTGGAACACTTGATATCAAAAGAAACTTTTACTCAAATTTGATGAATAAAAAGATGAATCATTGGAGATGCCCTAAGAATAATTGAAATAGGAGTTAAGCACTTAGTACTTTGTAAGGATAGGAAGACTTAGGCTTGGTTTGGCATAACTTAAAAAAGTCAAAAAGTCACTATCCTATTTGATTCGCATCATACCCAACTCATATTTCATAAAAAGTCAAAAAGTTCACTTATTTAGTTTATCCCAAATATACTAACAATTAATTTTTATTAATAAATAATAATAAAAAAGTAAAAAATAAAAACTTGAAGTAAATGTTGAATTTTCTGGGAGAAAAGTCGTGAGAAAATTATATGACCATCAGATCAATATAAACTTTTTTTTTTTTTTTTGGCGTGTGTTTTTACTGGGCCTAACCCCTATTCAATACAATGGTCAAATTGGCACCCCAATATTGAATATTATAATTCAAATCAAATCGAACATTCTGAAATAAATAGGATAAAGACCGACGGTTGTTTGGGATGACTTAAATAAGTATATTTTTTGTCTTTTTATAAAAAGATGTGCAAAAAAGTAGAGAGGTGATATGATGAAAAAAAAGATAAAAAATAAAAAGATAAATTATTTGAAGTATGCCAAACTTGGCCTGAATTGCAAAGTTTCTGTGAGATATTGGGGTCTTTTGGCAACTTGCTAAAAAAGTTAATTTTTTTGACTCTTTAATTTTTTTTTACACAAAAAAAAATCATAAACAGTCAATTTTTTTAATCAAAAAAGTCACCAAAAAAAATCAAAAAAACTAAAAAATTAATTTTTTACCAATTTCCAAAACACCACATTATTGCCCTGGCCAGCGGCCTGGTTATTATACTGCTGCTGCATTACAAAATTAACTTTTAATTTTATTGTTTGCTATTTTCTCTATGGAAAATGCTTTAATAATGCTTGTTTGTATCACTTATATATTAATTTTTATGATTCTAATTTTTTAAATTGTTAGTTTACAAAAATTAAAATAAGTTATAAATCCATTTGATACAATTTTTGATAATTTGTGAAAAAAATAAACTTATTTGGTTGACATTTTTTTTTTGGTGTAAATATTTAGAATACCATAAAAAATTATAATTAAGACAAAAGAGGGAGAGCTCTTTTGTTTATATAGATACTTAAGGCCTCGTTTGGGAACAGACTTTTTTAGTAACTTTTTAATTTTTTGGTTAAAATATAATGTAAAAAAAAATAGTATGTTTAGGAAGACTTTTTGACTTTTTAGGAAAAGATGTGAAAAAATTAGAGAGAAAAAAGAATCTTTAACTTTTTGATGTCTTTTTAGTGACTTTTTGACTTTTTAACTAAAAAAGACACTTGTCAAATGAGGCTTAAGGATGGGTCAGGACAAGAATTATTGAAATTTGAGGTACTACTAAAATAAATTTGAAAAAGATGGGAGGGCCATAGCCACCCTTGGCCATTGAATGACTCCGTCCTTGAAGACAATGACAATTGAAATAGACAATCCATGAACCATTTTATTTATGATCTGGTTTCCTCCAATCTCAAATCAAATTAGAGAGTACTGTTGAGTCTGTAATGACTCATCACAGGTCTCGTTTTGATAATCGGAACCGTTAATGTATAGAATTGATTGAGTACTATATGTTTGTAAAAAATCACTTTGATTGAATATTGATAGCTATTTCATCAGATCATATTTCTGTCAATCGTTTATTTTTTCACTTTCTATTTTTTTTACCAAACTGATTTAATCACATAACTATCAATATTCGATCAACTTAATTTTTTACAAGTATATCGTACTCGACAAGGTTTATATATTGAACGGTTCAAATTATTAAAACGGACCCGTAATAGGCCCTCCACAGTTTTAACATTACCATCTAATCCGATCTAAAATTGGAGGGAAGCCAGACCCTTAATATATTTTTCATGTGGAAGAGATTGTTCAGAAGAATTCTGATAAACACT